CGAAATTCGTTGATTATCTAATCAATATATGTAACTGTTCACTGTGTTTTCAAAAATACAAGCTTTAACAAAGAGACATTACTGGAAGCAATACCACCAAAAATTGTCAAGTACTTGAGATTGAGCATTTTCTTTTATGAAATATACCATCCAAAATCTAAAAATTAATCTACCAGACATTACCACTGCAATTAGTGACACCACCTCACTTAGACGTTCCAAAATATCGCTACCTTTCTCTTAAGAGTTCGCCCTGCAATTGAGGAACTTTCCCTCTCTGATATGCGCCCCCAAGCAGTACAGAATTTTGAAATCCCACCTTAGGAAAATGTACGGATTCAGCTTCTTAATGTTTTAAAGCATCATGCGAAGGCAAGCACTAACGAGATCATTTACAGACAACTCTTCGCTGAGCACAGGCACAAATATAGCAGTTATTTTCCAGTCTATACATATGGTTCAAAGTCAAAAGATCATGTCGGAATGGCATTTGTAATTGAAGATCACATGGAGGGCAGACGCTTGCACCATGCTTTCTCTGTCTTAACATCTGAACTAACTGCGCAATATATTATAGTCTTTTGTACATCTCAAGGCTCTGCCACAATAAAGTTTATAGTTTATACAGACTCCTATAGTGCGCTTAAATCATTAGAAGCTTTTTCCATACTCAAAATCCAGTAATAGTGGATGTTCTCAAGATTCATATAAACTTAACGAGTCGTGGATATGAAATCCTGTACTGCTGGGTTCCCGGCCATGTGGGAATAAAAGGGAATGAGCTGGCAGATATCACAGCGAAATGTGCTGTTGAACTGTCCAGTCGCCTCATCCCTTTTGGAGACATCTGTTGTGTTGTCAAAGAGAAGATCCGAAAAAAATGGCAGCAACTTTGGGATGTTCAGCTTCAAAACAAGTTAAGACATGTAAAGCCTAGAATTGAGCATTGGGAATTAATTAACTAGAAATCGTAAGGAGGAAGTTCTTTTGACTCGCCTCAGAATTGGTCACACCAGAGTGCACATAACTACCTTTTAAAAGCTGAGAATGAGCCTGTTTGTTCAAATTGTAATGTTTTGTCTATCTGTTCGTCATATTTTAATTGAGTGTCCCTGTTTTAACAGTCTTCGTCAGAAAATTTTAATAGCTGTGACTTACCTCTCGACCGTTTAATCGGAAGAGAGGTCAATTGTAATTTATTTTATTATTTAAAAGAGACTGGCTTTTATTACCAAATCTAATTTGTTTTGAAGACTGTGTCTTGAATTTTAATGTGTGCTTTTAACTTTTGTTTATATGACTTCATCCTCTGGATTTGGTAAATTTATCTACTTGTTTTTATTTATTCAATTTTAATGTTATCAATTGTAATCATCCCATCTTGTGTTTGGCGCGTTATAATCATCTGTGGTTTTTGCGCCATAATCACTCACTCACTCACTCACTCACTCACTCGTTCCAAAATATCGAGCACTGGGTTGTTCTCTGCAGAAAGGTGACGACCCTCTCCAGCCTTTATGGTTCAAAATATTAGACATATTTTTTATTATTTATTTATTTGTATTTCGCTATTAAGCACTACACAGAAAGTAAAAGTATTTTAATGAAAACTGGTTCGTATCCGCGTTACACGTAACAAAATCTACGAAAAGGGCCATGCAGCCAGTCGTTTGCCCGAACCCAAACCCTGGACTGAGCTACTAACTAGTATTTAACGGCCTTTTACTCCTCGGTGACTGGTGGCACTTTAGATACCTGTTGAAAAATGTGCATTCATAATTTCGTTTAACATGTAGGAAATATCAAAATAAATTTTCCATAAAATACATTGCACTTTGTACGTTATGACACGGTAACTGAGTCGATGGTCTTCTCAGCTAAAATGGATTTTAGCTTGATGATACGAAATATTTGATTCAATTGTTTTAGTTATAATTTTCCTATTGGAACACTGCTGTTCTGTACTTTTTTTGTCGATGGAAATGAAGCTGCATGTTGAAGATTTTCAAATATATAAGCTACTGAGAATTTTCCCTTTAATATGATATATTTACTTGCAACTAAATAAAATTTTTAGAAATTGAAATGTTTCACTGAAAATTATGCAATCATTGTCTATTCTAAATAAAGGAAAAAAATGAATAAACCCCATTAAAATGCATAAGAATTATAATTTTTCAACTTCCTTCTAATTTTCTATTTATTTCATACGATATTTCATAATCGGTCTTTATCTGCAATTTCCTAGCAAACATGATTTATTCCTCTAATTCTGTCCCAAGTTGCAATTACCTGCATTTGAAAAATCAATTTTGCAAGGGTTTTTTTACGAAACTCTTTGATCACATTAAAGCACCTAAATGTGCTATGTAAAGCATGTTAGTGTAAATATATTTGATGATATTTAAAACAGTAACATTAATGCATTTGATATTTAATAAAACAGCAAATATCAAGTATCTATAACACATAAACGTTAAATACCAATTTATATTTAGCACATAGACATTCAACAAACACATTACCTAATACTAAAGTTGTGAATGTTCTTTTCAAAGATATTGCAGTGTGTTTGTATAAAATGAATCCCAAGCTGTATTGGCAAACACCTATATGTTATCCGGATGGATGGTTATTTCGAATTGTTTGCCCAGAATGAGGGAGAAAGTTTATCAGTAAATATTTGTCAAATACCTGGATAAATAAACGTATCAGGACACTTAAGTGTTATTTGTTGAACGTATACTAGAATTATTTGTTCAGCGTATAAATCAAACACAGAAATGTCTTAGAACTAATTTTCCTGATCTTCAGCTTTCGAAAAAGCTATCACCTAAATGTTTAGTGCCATTACGTCAGCAGTTCCATTACATTAGAATTATGAGGCAATCGATCTTTTTATTATCGCACATGGAATTATTGTATTAATATTTCAGTGTAATAAATGAATAGCTTGACAACTTAAAGGTACTTTTATGATTACGGAAAAGGTATTACATTTAAAATATATTTCATTTTGGAATGCTTAGAGTAAGAAAAAATAAGAATCCCTCTTAAAGGTTCTCCTATTTCATTTGGCAAATTGAATTTCTAATAACGTAAAGTAATAAATTGAGTAAGTAACCATATGTCCTAACATTTGTCTTTCTGTTTTTAGGCTATTAACGAAAAGGTGAGCTCTGCCATTATGAAGTAAGGCCAATTTAGGAAGAAAGCGAAAAAATTACTCGTCTGCTAATTTATGTTCTTAATTTTTAAGACACTCTTGCAGATATAACTTTTGCTTCAAACGGGGCATTTTTCTTCAGGCTTTCAAGCTACACATTGTTGTAATTAAAATATTTGGAAAACATTTTTATAAGAAATTACAAAAGCTAAGGCTTTCAAAGTGCGTGATATGGTTTTTATTAGACATATTTTATGATGCATAGTGGCAACCACTTTTAAGAAACAGTGAATATTGAAGGAATCAGGCGCGAAGAACTGAAACTAGACGAACAAAGGTTATGTTTTAACAAGTTAAAATTTTAGATTTAAGAAATCGTGATTGCCGCTTTCTAAATCCAATTTTTTTCATATTTAGTGATGAAAATAAAAAATCAATTCCTTCCCCTTATCGTTAGCTGAAGAAATGCTTATTGTCATTTCTTTCCCTACATAACAGCAGAGGAGAGTTATTATGCGACAGCCTAAAGGGCTCCTTGAATGACAAAGAACTTCTTAGTAAAAGGTACTTGAAAGATCGAAAGAGTTACAAATCTCTTTAGTATTTTGTTGTAAAAAGGGACTACTACTCAAAGGTGACTTTGGTTTATGTGCTCACGTAAGATACGTTCAGCTTTAATTATTTAATGTTTCGATATTAAGAGTATCCTGCCGCGCAAGACAAAAAATTTCTTTACTTACTGCGTAAGAAAAATTTACTGAAAATTAAAATCCTTCCTCGCCATGGAACAAGAAAGAAAATTCTTTTGTATTATAAATTATAAAACCAACGCTGTGATAAGATTCTAAAAGATAGAAAGATATTCGGTTGGCAAATTATAATCTTTACAGAAGATGGAAAAAAGAAACAGGGAAGGCAACTATGTTTAAAACGGCACAACATATAAATGTTTCATAATTCCAAGTTTAAACGCTGCCATCAAGGTTCAAAATAATTTTAAAATATCTACAATTTTGAAGATAAATCAAGAGTAGAGACTTTCCTCAAACTGACGGAGGGTCAAGTCGCTAGAAATGCAAATCGAATAATAATTCTTGAAAAATTAGGTTACAATGAGAGAAAGCTGGAAATGATTTTACTGTAGAATCATGTCTCGCGCCTTAGTACCCACCAGTGCTGAGTGGTAAGCACTGATAATTCAGTTTGATTGGTTTATTTCGTTATGCATTAAATGGCACTAAAATTCTGTCCACTTAAGGGAAGGAATGCTTTCGTGGAGAGCATTCTAAGGGAAATTTCGTCGTATACACGTTACACGGGGGGAAATCATGAAAACGCCCATGAAGGCAGCCCCTTTGCTTAGATTCGAACCCAGGTCAAACTAGCAGGTTTCAGCGACTTTAATGCTTGGCTTTTGGTGGGTTCTACCGGTAATATTCATTGCAGCCTCTGACCAAATGGGCGGGGTGCATGGGAGGTTTTGTAGTTTTCCTTCATGTGTACTTGGATACGAGTCAGTTTCCCTTAAAATTTCTTCCACAAAGGCATCCTTTCCTGTAGGCGAATAAACCTCGAGTTGCTTTGACTTCATCAATCAATCTAACTTAACCTTATCTCATATTTCAGTCATTTCAAAATAGTCATAAACAGAATACACTTTATGTGATAATGACTACGTTAATTACTGGTTGAAAATATAACACCCATAGATTTCATTAAAAATATAACAAAAAGTCGATTTATAAAAGTTCCAAAATTGCGAGGCTACAAGACGACCGAGTGGTGAAAGCGCTGAACCTGTTCGCTTGGCATCGGTTCCAGTCACGGTGAACGACAGTCGCACGGGAGCCGCATGTGCGTGCAGAAGTGAGCTCCACGTTTTACTCGGTTAAAGCGCTGTATTAAACAGAAAAAGTGCATAATTTTTATATCAACGAAAAGATCTCGTCGAGAGCTTCAATTTGGTGTCAATTACTCGTGGCTACGCCGAATAGTTCCAGAGATTTGATTTAATATAATGTTAACCCATTGTCTTTGTGAATTACCATTGTAAACGGAATTGGGGAGTCGTCAGCTCAGTGAAGTGCCGCTCAGATGCAAATTTACTCGTATATTAAAGGATTTCTCGGCACCTTTTAGCCATCCAACTTCAATCTACATACCAAGAGTAAACTGGTACCTTCCACTTGCTTCCGGTACAAGTCTCAAGTCTGTGGTGACATCGTGAGTGCTTTTATATGTTTTTATAAAGTGTTTCTACAAATGCCATTTTCATGGTTTAATTTTTTAATATTGCTTCTTCTATGGGAGTGTTGCAGCCTTATAACAGTAAAAAGGTAGGCCACTCTATTATCTACATTTTGATGTGCATCTTAGAATTTTAGCTACAATAGTTATAATTTCATTAACTGATTTCTGCGCTTGGTAAAATCCTAGTATACGGTGCATCCTTGGTGCGATTTTGAAAATTATCGCCAACACGAAAATAACCCGTTTTCATCGTATATGTCCCGTTTACTACTCATCATAAAGTCGCCAAATCCCTTGTGCACCGGATACTAGGATTAAAACCTACGCTTTGACGCATCTGCATTTAATTTTTCCCCAGCTGACTTCCTTTTTCGTCCTTGAGGAAGAAACGGCGCAGAGTAAATTCACTTGATCAACCGCCCCCCCCCCCGCAACAATAACAACCTAACCTTCAAAGGTCATCTCAGAGTAAAGTCTGCTTTGGGAGTGCGCAAGTACAACTTCTCACGTGCTACTGTTTATATACAGAATTTATAACTTTTTTAATGTAGCACGTCATGGCCATTTTCTGAATACAGTTTTTCACATGAATAAGCACTTTTCCTGTAGCACATTCACTGCTAATTTTTGGACTGTTTATTTTTATTTATTTATTTATTATTATTATTTTATTTCCCTTCTTTTAATTTTTGCAATTCTTGTTTTTACGATCTCTGATTTTTTTTTTTTTTTTTTTTTTTTTTTTTTTTAAAGCATAGTGCATAGGTATTTTGTTGTTGCAATCTAATATTGCACAATTTTCTTTTTCAATTTAATTTTATGATAGTTAGTACCAACATATAGGTAGTGTAATCATCATTCATTATTGTGTGTCTATTTACTTTTGTTTCTTACATAACTTCAGTGTATTCTGTGTATATGTAAAGTAACTTAAATTATGTTTATTATGTGCAATTCGGATAACAGCGCTCTGTTATTTTCGCTGGTCTCGTGATAATTTCGCAACACAAGCACATTTCAGCACGCATTGTTAAATATTTTGGTACCTAGTTTCATAGCTTTTTGTGTATTAATTTATTTTTACCGCCTTTATTTGATGTATTAATTTATTTGATGTATGTATGTATATAAGATAATCACTTACTGTTGTTAGTTTCTCAGCATTTAACTTACTGTAGTAATAAGCTCTTACAATAGTTGTTTTGTTCCAATAATTGCTGCTGTCGGCACTCACCACTACTCTCCATATCAGTAGTACCAGCACTTACCTGCAGCCATATTTGGCTACAGCACTTAGTACATTCAGCTTCAGGTTTCTTTGATTAGGGAGTTTCGTTTTTGCTACAACTGTGTACTAAGCAGTGCTGTTTTCCCGTTTTTAATGGGGACACTCGATACCTCTTCTACTTCAGGCAAAGATATTACTACCTTGATTACTCCCGACAGTCCATTGTCTAAGGCCTCAAGACTGGAGAAAATTAACGCAATTACGGAGGATATTAGGGAGCACCTTACAGTGTGCAGGGTCAGATCGAAGCTTAAGATTGCAGATCACGAGAAATTACAGGATTTTATTCGTAAGATCCTGAATTTAGTCTCACAGCAAGAGATCCTTATAGCTAACCAAGAGGGGCAAATTCTGGGACAAACAAGACATTTAAATTTGCAACGGCAGTCCTCAGCATCGGTAGCAGCAACCGTGGAAGTAGCAGCAACTTCACCAGTACAGCAAGCAGGGGACAGGCAGCAGCATTAAGAAGCAGCAGCAAACGAAGTCTTTACCGTTGTGGGTTAATAGACGCAGAAGACTAAATGAAGTTTCTCCAGCCACAAAGCTTCCTGACCACGTATGCTCCTTATTAAAAGTAAAGACACGAGTCGCACTACTGAAAGTGTTCAGAAGCAGCTAGTGAGTAGTATTACGCCTAACAAAGTAGGGATTAACGTCGTCCAAGTAAGGCCGACGCGCTCGCAGGAACTATTCATCACGTGTAGAGAGAAGACAGAACTGGACAACTCAGAGCCGCCATCAGTGATATTCCGGAATTAGATAACTCATTAACCACCTCACTGCGTACCTTTTTTTATCAAAATAGGTTTAAAAATTGCGTATTTTTTATTACATATTTCAAATCTTCATATATTTTACAGTTAAAATATACAAAAATTTTTTGTAAAAGAGAGGTATTTTTTCAATATAGAATTAGATCATAGAAAAAGGTTATCAGAATACTGAAATTGAAGAATAATGATATAAAAGGAAAATTTTGAAAATTAATATTTCTTAAATTATGATTTATTTTATAAAATACAAAAGTAAAACATATATATTAATGAAAATATTTGCATAATATAATATTTTGCATATCAATTTTTCACCACTGTTGAACGTTTCCAATAGAAACTTAATCATTCATCACTATCTACAGAGGAATCCGAGAATTTCTCATCAGTTTCGCTATATCTATCTTCAATATACTTGAAATCAGAGTCAGAACTACTACCAGTTTCGGAAATATCGTCAGGAATATAGCTTATATCAATCGCGAAACGTTTCCTGCCAGGCAGCTTTGAGCTCTGAAAAGCGCGCACAAAATGCTACATTACATATTCCTGTTTATTTGGCAGAAATGTGGACAATTAACGCCATCTGTTAGCCCACATCTAAATAAACAATTAAACATCACAGGAAAGCCGAAAGGAAACCTTGAACGGGGAAAGCGAGTTGCAGAAATTTTGCTACTTCCACGTTGTCCGTGGAAATCGCGGGATGCGCAGCGAGATGGTTGAGTGTAAGAGTGCCTAGACCACCTAGGCGTACACCATAATAGTCTTTGGAGTGCCACAGGACAGTACAGCTAGAGATATCATAGAGGCTCTCTCTAACTTCTTCCCAAGTAACACGAAAGAGTTTATATTCCCTATTCGTTCCTACCCAAAGGAGGATAACACCTGCCATTGTTTAGTCGGTGTTGCAAGGGAACGGGCCGAAGAGCTATTAGAAAAGAAAAGAATCTACATTGGACTTTGCGCCTGCAATTTCAAAGAATATCTCCAAGTGAAACTGTATTACAACTGCCAAGAATTTGGGCACTTTAGACCAAGGATGTCAAACTCGCGGCCAGCGGGCCGCATACGGCCCACAACGAATATTTTTGCGGCCCGGCCAATATATCGGCAAATAATAATATATAATAAGCCATATGCAAATGGAGGTGATCAAGATTCAATGCAACTCAAATTTGAAAGCAAAATTCATTGAAGTGGGCGTGCTTGAATTTTACAAATATTTACCAACCAGGTTTGAAAATACTCGAAAATTCGCATATGAAATTATTTCCATGTTTGGTAGTACTTATCGGTACGAGCAGTTATTTTCAGCCATGAAGGGTAATAAATCTCCTATTAGAAACCGTATTAATGATGCTCACCTTGGGTCAGCGTTGAAAGTTATCACTGCAAACAAAATTTCTCCCGAAATAGGAAAGATAATAGCAGAGAAGAGATGTCAAGTATCAGGACGTAAACATTAAATTTTTCTTGTTCTTTTCTATATAAATAAATATATATATATGTTTATTATTGTATTATTCGAAATAAATCTACGTTTCTATGAATATTGATTTTTTTTTTTTTTTTTTTTTTTTTTTTTTTTTTTTGGCGGCCCGCCTAAAGTTAAACCTTGTTTGTTTGGCCAAAGTGTACTTATGAGTTTGACATCCCTGCTTTAGACGTTAATGCAAGTCGAATACAGCCTGCTCCAAGTGTGGCAAAGGTCACCTGTAAAAGTGGGACTCAGTTACCATTAACTGTGTCAACTGCAGCCTCGCGAACTAGAAGACAGCTAGCACCTTCGACACACAACATCCAGGAAGCGCATCGAAGTGTCCATGTTAGAGACAAGAATGAGCGAATCAGACAGCGAGTCTACTCAATAACAGAGAAAGTTTACAACAGAGACTGGTCCAACATCAAAATTTTACAGTGCAATCTCCAAAGGGCAAGAGCAGCCACACTCAATTTGATGGAGGTGGTGTCCTCCAGTGCAGCAGACCTGGCACTCTTACAAGAATCTTACTTGAGGGACGGGAAACTTCTTGGCCAACCTTCAACAAGTAAATCCTACGCCTCCAGTACGAGAATGGCCGTCATCTTGTATAACGGCCTCTAAGTCCATTTCTTCTGCATATGACAGATTACACAGTAACAATCGTGATTGAATCCTCCAACGTGAAAATAACAATCACTTGCGTTTACTTCCCCCCAAGCATGCAAATTGAATACCTGCTACAGGAACTAAACCCAGCCTTACTACGAACATTCCAGAATACCACAGTGGCTGGTGACTTTAACTTCACCAACCCTTTATGCGGAGCACAAGCAGAAAATCGCAGAGCGCAGAAATTGTTAGATCGTTAGCAAGCAACCTATGTTACATTACAGAAAATAACCACCAATAAAGTTTTTCAACCCCTACAACTTACCGCTAAAGTAAAACAAGATGCAAAAAGCAAAACAGAAGCTAAACACTATCCTAGAAACAATCGTTGTTAAAGACAACACGAAATTTGATTTAGTAATTCACACAGAAATAAGGCAGAAGTTTAATAGGAAACGCTGGTAAAGCAGCAACAGAGATATTACTCTTCCTACAGACCACGAAGTTCATAATATCATCAAAGCCTTAGCTGACAAAAGAGCACCAGGTCCCGATGGCATAGATAATACTATTGTTAAAGAAATTCACAAAGAATTCCCAGGTTTGTTTCCAAAAATATGCAGAGCCTGCTGGCGACTCGGCCACGTCCCTAGAAGCATGAAACTAACCGAAATTGCACTCTTTCACAAGCAGGGCAAAGACCCGTCAGACCCGGCATCATATAGGCCTGTAAGCTTACTGCCTTCAATCAGTAAGATTTTAGAAAAAGTAATTCTACAACGCCTTAATTTCCACATGTACAGGAATAAGGTCT